AATCTGGAGGTGGCAAATTTAGGGCTGATAATGGCTGATATACAGCATCTAGAACCTAAATGCTTCTTTGTGGTACAAAATGAGTGTTCAAGGTCCAGCCATTAAATCTGCATTCCAGGTAATAGGAAAGATACAGATGAGAGAAAAGGCACTTCCTGAAATTCTAAGGAGACCTCCTAGATAGAGCACCTTACAAAGTTTTCACTTATCTGTCAGGACTTGGTCACACGTCAACCCTGGCCTATAAAGAAAATTGAAAAATGCAGTCTTTTATTGTGGTTTCAATGTGCCCAGCTAAAGGTGGGACCTTTATCAAAGAAGGGGAGAACAAAAGATAGGATGCTTCTTCAGTAGTTTCTGTGGTAGAGACAAATGGAATCTATTTGGTTTCTTTTCTTCTTAGCTATTCTTTTTCCGAGGTAATCTCATTAGGGTGGGGGTATCAGCATAACAGCTAAAAATGTAAAAATCCCATCCCCATCACTTATTAGCTGAATGATGCTGCCTCCATCCTGACATCTACTCTATCCCATTATGCTATTTGTAATAATAGTAGTAGCAGTAGTGATGGTGGTGGTGGTGGTGGTAGTACTGACCTCTAGCTGATTTACCTTTACTTACAAGCCTCTCTCCCTCAAATATATGCCTCGTGGAGGAAGGGTCTTGGCCTGTCTTATTTACTGCTATATCCTCAGAACTTGATAATGCCAACCAATTAGGAGTCATCACCCATCGTCGTTGTTAATTTTATAAATTCTCTTGGCAATTAAAAATCCTCTTGAGAGGAATGTTTACTAGAAAATAGTCTATTTAAAATATTTGATTTATGATTTAGTTTAAGACAGGCTAAAATAATATTTAATATGAAATTTTGTAAAATTACACACACACAAACACACAGAGAAAATTGCTGGAAGAATATAAGCCAAAGATTTAATATAGATTATCTGTACAAACAAAATCATATTGCAACAATGTGTTATTCAAGATTTCATTATCTTTAAAATAGACTGTGTACATTTATGTGTATCTGAATTCTATATATACTATACAAATATACATAAATGGGAAAATGCCTGAAATAAGTGTATTAAAATAGGCACAGTTTTTATATGTAGCTAGTGAAATTACATGATTTTATTATTTTTTGTGTTCCACCTTCCAAATAGTCTAAATAATTAAATCCCCCCAAAAATGTGTTCTTACTGCTTTCTGTAAGCAACAACAAAAAATTATTAAATTTAGTTACCTATTGTATATTATTATTAGTTCAAAGATGTTTTATTCAATTTATACATTAAATTATATAATATCCTAAGTAAATTGAAGCATCTTCTCAATTAAAAAAATAATTTTTGCTTCATCATTGAAAAATAGTGGTATAAACCATGGAGAAAGTGGTTTCTTGAGGGCAGAAAGCCTTTCATTATACTCGATGGGAACTCTTGTTAGGTTATAGGTGAGTGTGCTCTCCATCAGCATCATGAGATTTGCCTTCAGCCCCATTATATTTGGCATTTGAATTGCTCGAGTGAGGTTCAAGGAGATTGCAGTTACTGACCTACCACCCTGAGTTCAGATGATGGCTCACATCCATCTGGATGAGTTCTAATGGGGCGCCTGGGTGGCTTGGTCAGTTAAGCATCTGCCTTCAGCTCAGGTCAGGATCCCAAGGTCCTGAGCCCTGTGTCATCATCAGGGTCCCTACTCAGAGGAGAGTCTGCTTCTCCCTCCCCCTCTGCCCCTTCCTCCCTTGTTCTCTCTCTTTCTTTCTCTATCAAATAAATAAATAAAATCTTTTTAAAAAATAAAATAAATAAATGAGTTCAATTGGCCCATTCCCTAGATGAGCTACCCATAAAATATCAAGAGCCTTGGCAAAAGTAGAGTGTCTCATATTCTGGATGTTGGCAAATTGAACACCAATAAAAAATAAATTTATTATTAAAAATAAATTTTAAAAAAGTAGAGTGTCTCACAGATGATTCCAGTGGATTCCAGGGAATTTTTAAGCACTTGAAGAAGACCTGATATCACCCATTCCATTCTGAATGTCAGATTCTTCACCAAGAGATATTTTATATGCACAGGCGCTTATAATTAATTACGTATCCTGGGGCACCTGGGTGGCACAGTCAGTTACGCATCTGCCTTTGGCTCAGGTCATGATCCCAAGGTTCTGGGATCGAGCACCAGGTCAGGCTCCCAGCTCACCAGGGAGCCTGCTTCTCCCTCTCCCCGTTTGTGCTGATGTGCTCTCTCTTGCTCTCTCTCTCTCTCTCTCTCTCTCTCTCTCAAATAAATAAATAACTGTATTATTATCTAAGTATGTCTTAACTTTGGTTATTAATTGATTGGTATATTTGGCAACTCCCACATCCGGGGCATATATATTGATGATTGTTAAGTCCTCTTGTTGGATAGATCCTTTAAGTATGATATAGTGTCCCTCTTCATCTCTCACTACAGTCTTAGGGATAAATTTTAGTTTATCTGATATCAGGATGGCTACCCCTGCTTTCTTTTGAGGACCATTTGAATGGTAAATGGTTCTCCAACCTTTTATTTTCAGGCTGTAGGTGTCCTTCTGTCTAAAATGAGTCTCTTGTAGACAGCAAATAGATGAACCTTTTTTAAAAATCTACAATTCCTTTTCTTGACCAGAAACATTTTCTTAAATGGTTTATAAAACTTTCATTATTTGAGTGACACATAAAATGTGGTATAGCTTGTCTGGTGGTGTCTCCCAACATCATGAAGTGAACAAAATCTAAGATTCTATGACCCATATTATTTCTCCATCACAACTCCCCAAGGCTGCAAGAGACAAGTATTCTGGAAGGGAGATGCAGGGTTGTGATTTGAATCAATTCATGCTGAGTGAGACTCAGAGTGGCCACTGAATGACTTGAATGACTCTCTTGCCCTTACCCTTAAATAGCTCTCCTCCCAGATTGCTTCAGATATGTGCGTGTCCCATCCCTCATACCAGAGGGAACATGGGGCTCACAAAACTCCCTGTGGACCCCAGGCTGAACCAAAGCTACTACCTGGATCCCAATAACTCAGGTGTAAAAGGTTTGGGGTTTTTGTTGTAGTTTTTTTTTAAATGTTGCATAATTTTCCTAGTCCAAAATCACAGATAAAACAGATCAGGTTCGTATTTGTACCCTATAACATTAAGCTTAGAGATTCTATGAAAAAAAAAAAACGCAATGGGAGAGGGGGAAAAAAAAACAAGAGAATGCTCACGAACCTTCCTTTGGTGCAGGATCTGTGCTGTAAATAAAGGCACAGCCTAAAACATTGATAATTTTCCTTTCAGCAAAAAAAAAAAAAAAAAGTAAGTCACTTATTTCAACACTGACAACAAAGACACACATCTGAGAGTGTTGATCCCAGCCTTCACCTAATTAACTGCTTCAAAAATAAATAAATAATGTAAATTAAATGGAAGAAATTTCCGAGCTAAAATCTGAATCCTTTTCAGAGCAACCCATTGGCACTAATTCTGTCTGTCTAGTTTCCTAGCCCATGACTCATACCTGCTGTCTGAAATAGTTGCCTCACTGAAACTGTGGTTATCCTTAGCCTACATATCACTTCATTGTCTTGGTATTCAGTTCTCTGCACAACTTGCTCACTCTCTCTGATTGCAAACCACCCTATGACCAGTCATTGCAAAGTGATCTGCTTAGAATAACTGCAATATTTAAAGCATGATCCCAAGAACGGATGGCTAGGACACCATCATCCCATCAACACTGCCAAAGAAAATATTTGTTTATCCAAGAAATCCATCATGAAATTTATTAGTCACAGACTTGAGATACATTTATACTCTAGCTCTCCCTGTATTGTTACCAAGGCAGGTTTCACTCTCCTTTTTCCCCCATCTATTTTTCTATAATCTAGAGATAAATTTTATATTTTTAGATCACACTCAGCGATCAGGGCTCAAAAGCCTGCAGATTGTTGCACCAAAAGTGTTGCACCAAAACAACACTTTTCAGAAATCATTTTCTCTTACCTGAAGTAATTATAATACCTCTTGAATTGTTTAAATGTTTTATGAGGGACAGAAAGGTGTCTAAAAAATGTGTAAACTACATCCTATTGTATTTTTCTTTTTTTTCTAATTTGGAACAACAATAAAAGGCTAACATGAAAACAGGATATACATTTTCTGCATTTTAGTTTACCTCTGACTTCTCAACCCCTATTGCCTCTGATTCTTTAGAATTTTCTTCTTCTCTCATTCACCTGTTTGCATTTTATTTCTAAATTCTATAAGTGATACCTACTTATTTTTGTCAAAAGAAACAGAAAAAACTAAATATCAAATATTAAAGTAATAGTTGGAACAACTTCAGAGCTATATATGTAGAGAGGCATCTCTCTTGACACTTGTAACTTGGTGGAAAAGTAAAAATATAAGTTTTGTGTTGTCAATATTGTTCACTTTTTGTCTATATTTACTTTTTTCTGCAGTGATTGTGACGTGGTATTCTTAGAAGACAAGAATAAAGAAAATAGGCATAAAAGATACTAAAGGAAATGATACAAGGAGTTTCTTTAGCTAAAAGAATCATCCATAGCTAAGTGACCTGCTCTGTTTCCTATTTTCAATTCTGTGTTTAGGGATGGTGACCATATATGTCATTCCAATAAATTGCACCTGGTCTGGACATATTGGTCCAGCCAGTGCCGTAGTATTAATAGCTAGATGATCCAACACTTATTAGATTTTTATTCTATTCCCAATAATAAAATTGTTTGAGGAAGCATAATTACTCTGACTCAGGACTGGGAATTTTTATCATCTTCACACATGTGATTGAAATGGAGCTTTAAAGAAAAAATTGGCAAGGATACCATATTCCAAATTCTGCCCATTTCTTAGCATCTTCAGATGAGGACCAGGTAGACCTTTCACATCTAGAAGGTATATATATATGTATTATATGTGTGTATATATATTTTTTATTCCTGACAGGAATTTAACTTCTGATGCAAAACTTCCTCCTGACGATCATTCTGTGCATGGCAGCTTTCACTTCTTTATTTCTCAAGCTGTAGATGAGAGGATTCAACATGGGGATCACCGCTGTGTAGAACACTGAGACCACTTTATTGACATCCAGGGAAAAAATTGCACCTGGCCTCACGTAGATAAAGAAGAGTGTCCCGTATAAGATGGACACCGCGGTGAGATGGGAGGAACAGGTGGAAAAGGCTTTGCGCCTCCCATCAGCAGAACGGATCCTCAGGATGGCAGTAAGGATGTAAAAATAGGAGATTATAATGGTCAGGCTACTGACAACCAGTACGGCTCCAGCCACAATGAAAACTAACAATTTATTGATCCGGGTGTCAGCACATACCAAAGAAAGAAGCGGGGACATGTCACAGAAGAAATGATTGATAATGTTGGAGCCACAAAAGGGAAGTCGGAAAGCAGCTGTCGTGTGAGTCATGGTGCTCAAAAACCCAACAGTGTAGGGTCCAACCACCAGCTGTATGCAGAGTCTCTGTGACATGGCAACAGAATATAATAATGGGTTACAGATGGCAACATAGCGATCATAGGCCATGGATGCCAGCAGAAGACACTCAATGGCCACAAAGAATCCAAAGAACCATTGCTGCAAAGCACAGCCCAGGAAGGAGATGGCCTTCTTTTCAGCGAAGAAGTCGGTGAGCATCTTGGGACCCACAACTGAAGAAAAGCAGATGTCCACGAAAGACAGGTGACTGAGAAAAAAGTACATGGGTGTGTGAAGGCGGGAATCCATCTGGATGAGAATAATCATACCCAAGTTTCCTGTCATGGTAACAAAGTAAAAAAGTAGAAAGAGCAAGAAAAGGAAGATTTGCATCCGAGGATGATACTTCAAGCCTATGAAAATAAATTCTGTGATTCTTGTATGGTTTCCATCAGCCATCGATTGTGTTGGTCTTCTAGAGTGAGAAAAACAGAAAATAGATATGCATACGACTTTAAGTTCTTTAAAAGCATAACATAATACACAATAAAAGAAACTGTAGGCCCAATTTTGGAAAAATCGAAGTAAGAGACTAAATTAAATGCTACTAAATCAAACATAGTAAAGCTCTTAAAAGCAATATGGCTTAAACGTTTTAAAGAGAAAATTAGAACTAAGAATTGGGTCACCATTAGAAAACCTGTAAAATTACTCACCACATTTACATATTAAAAGAAAATGCATTATAATTATTTCAATACAATTCTTTAACTTGATAAATATGGCTCTCAAAACCACAACAAAGAAAAAAATCCCAAATTGCAAATGAAAAGGAATTACTTAACTCAGTAAAAAGAATCTTTCTGAAGCTTCCAGAGAATATATGTGTGCAGCGTAAGTAATAGAAACACTCACACTATAACCAGAAACTATATATTCTCACAATTTGTATTATTTAACATTATACTGGAGAACACATTCAAAGTACTAAACCATAAAAAAAGAAAGAAGATGTAAGAATTCTAGAAAACAGAGTTAAGAAAATACTGACACTGTTTGCAGGCAAAATAGTCATCCACATAGAAAAATGTACAATAGTCAACCAATAAGATAACTTTCTTAGAAAAAATGAAACAGTTCAACAAAATAGTGAAGATCAGTGTAAGAAAGTCAATAATAATTACCTATGAGTTATAATGGAAAAACTTACATTCATTCACTCAAATTGATAAAATAGCTATAAATAAGCCTAACAAGGAATATTCTAGATTCATATAAAGAAAAATATAAATTATAGAACTTTACTGTGCAAGAGAAGAAATGCCTAAATCAGTGAAAAATACATTTCGTGTATTTTTATGTGTTTATTAAGATTCATTTCTTCCTGAGAAAGCAAAAATTAGCTAAAGCTAATTTAACAGGGAGAGTGAGAATCAAGAACAATTCTGATGAGCTCAAAGCAAAGCCAGGCTATGTATAAAGGGGCCAACACATCAGAACAGGTCTAGACTGAACAGGTAGCATGGGGTCCTGTTTCCTTGAAAACCACAAAGGTAAGATAGATGTAGAAGGTTGTATCCAGACATCCTTCATGTGGAGTCTTGTACCTGGGTAGGGAATTGAGATTGTTTTGCTCTATCAGACTGATTTAGATATTCCACACCAGAGTAGGAGGTTTTATCTTGATGATATAATGTCAAACAAAAATTTTAGATAGCTTGTAATTTTAGAAAATAAAGTTTCTCATTGAATAGCAAATAATAAATAAAAATAATAAAGCATTTGTCATGAGCCTCCTCCCAGAATATTGTTAGGATGCTTTATAGGGAGAAATATTTTTTCCTGTTCACTTCACAATTGATTTGTGTCTATTTTTCCAACCTGAAGAATGGCCATGCAGATTCTCACTCCCAAAATCCAATAATAACTCTAGATTTTCTTTGTTCAACAAAACAGCCATGGTTTTCCCAAGGTGTGTGGTCTCCTTCATTACAATGGGTCAAAAGCTAATTGGGTCAGGCTACAAACTTAAGGCTGATTTTAGGCTACCCACCACATTATATGGCAAAATTAATACAATTCCAGCCAATTGGAAAAATTAAAATGAAAATAAAATTTTTAGTGAAACAATCTGATTTTTAAGGTCGTGGAAGAGAAAAATGTTCAAAAGTAGCAAAAGAGTGTAATAAGTGAATCAGAGAAGGACAAACATTATATGGTCTCATTCATTTGGGGAATATAAGAATTAGTGAAAGGGAATAAAGGGAAAGGAGAGAAAATGAATGAGAATATCAGTGAGGGTGACAAAACATGAGAGACTCCTAACTCTGGGAAATGAACAAGGGGTAGTGGAAAGGGAGGTGAGTGGGGGGTTGGGGTGACTGGGTGATGGGCACTGAGGGAGGCACTTGGCGGGATGAGCACTGGGTGTTATACTATATGTTGGCTAATTGAACTCCAATAAAAAATTAAAAAATTAAAAAGTAGCAAAACAATTTCAAAAAAGAAAAACAAAGAAAATGGGATGTACTATTCCAGATATGAATACTTAAAGTCATTGTACTTAAATCAATAAGATGTTGTTACTAGAATAGATGGGAGATGAATAGGAGACAGAAAAACCATAGGTAGACCTAGGCATAGATGTCAGTTCAGTATGAATAAAGGTTTCCTTTCAATGAGGAAAGATTACCCCTAAAAGAGTGTTACAATATATGGATGACCATTCAAAAAAGTAGATAATATTGAAATTCTACTTACATCACTAAACTAAAAAGAAAAATTCTAACTATAAATATATAACATAAAACCATTAAAGACTAGCATTATGATGTGTTATAGGGTTGGTCTTCTATAATAGAACATAAAAATTACCTGAAGAAAATGGTGAAAAATTTCACTGCCTCATGATTTTAAGTAGATGGATGCCAAATACGCTCCAGGTAAAAACAAGACACACAGATTGAAAAAAATACAGAGGAATATGTCACAAAGAATTAAGATCAGATCACACAAAGAACTGTCACAGATTATCCACTTAAATAGCGGTACTAGTTGTGATGCTAGGCCAACTGACATGTCACAGAGGGGACACTCAAAGTCCAACAAATTGGTTTAATGTAGTTCACTATGCACCCCCCTCCCCCCACTTCCTCCGTGCCCCCGACATGGCCGCGTGGGGTTGTTGTGTGGGGGTAAGTGCAGTAGTGTATCTTGTTCAATCTTCCCACCCAACCCCACCAACACCACTATATATACCCCATCTCCCCCACCCCCACACCCCAAACACCAATCCCTCCCATACAGACAACATCACACTAACACCCACTCTCACACCACCAACACAACTCCTCTCAAACCACAATAACCCAAAAACATTATTGTACTCTACATCTTCTCGCAATGTACCGATCCTCATCCTCTCCTACACACAAAACATATCCACCACACACCCCCCCCCCCTAAAATAAAACAATTTACCCAAATTAATCTCTCGGACATCTTAAAAATTTTAAATAATTTTTGATATTAACTCCAAATTTAATCCTCGCTAGCATATCCCTACTCCTCCCTCCCCACTCATATAGAGATAGTCACACTCTATCTCGCATCAATAATACTCTCGCTCTCTCGCACTCACTGAGAGAGAGATACACACCACACTACCAACCCACCCCAAACAAAAACAACCTATCACAACATCACTTCCCAACCATCAATCTACACTCCATCTTCCCCCCTTTTCCATTCCCAACCCCATATACCCCTAGACATTATTCTTACATCCCATCACATCCTCCCCTCACACTATTATTGCGCTCCCTTGCCAACCCACCGCTCACATCGGTATAACTCTTTCTGTTAATTATACGATACGCTACACTCGCTGCCTCTTTCTACATGGTACAACAAAAAAATTAAGTAGTAGATTACCAGAGGGGAGGTGGGGAGGGGGCATGGGTGAAATAGGTAAAGGGGATGAAGAAAACATGTATTGTGACAAGCACTGAGTAATGTGCAGAATTGCTGAATTATTATATTGTACATCTGAAACTAGTATAACACTATATGCTAATTATACTGGAATTAAATGTACAAAAAATTAAAATTAAGTAGTAGAAACATGGCTATTTTTCCAAAATATGTGAAGGAGAAGTAAGTCACAGAATGATGGGTACACTATGGTAGTAGGAGCATTGTTAATGTTTTCTTTAATTTTAATTATTTAAGTGTGTTTCCATGTGTGTAGGTATAAATAAAATAAATGTCTGGAAAGATAAGTAATAAAGAGGACTCATTAACTCTGAAAACAGGGGAAAGTGAACCGGTAAGTAGGTAGGGAATCAAAGGAGACTCTAGGTTTATCTGAGATTTTAAAATTCAATGCAAGGAGAAAATGCACATGCATTACCTTTGCAATTAAAAATAATCTAGGAGTGCCTGCGTGGCTCAGTTGATTAAGCTTCAGACTCTTGGTTTCAGCTCAGGTCATGGTCCTGCAATAAATCAAGCCCTGCATTAGATGCCCCACTCAGCGGGGAGCCTGCTAGTCCCTCTGCACCACCATCCCCCGACCATTGCACGTGTGGGCTCTCTCTGTCTAAAATAAACAAATAGAATCTTTGAAAAAAAAATGTAAAACAAAACCAAGTAAAAGCAATCTAAAGCAATTCCTTAATTGCTTTTATTTATTATTTAATTTTATCTATTTTTATATGAAATTTATTTCAGCGTTTAAAAAGAAAAAGAGAGAAGAAAAAATAGCTATGATCAAGTGGGAGAAGAGCAACAACAGGCAAGAAAGAAATGAAGCCTCGGAGCTAGAAAGTGAGAAACAACTGCAAGCTGTGCATTTGAAGTTCAAAACTTCTGAAGTTCTAATAGGTAGAGAGAACTCTAGCCCCTCCCTCACCCTTTATAAATAAGAAAACTGAGTTCTTCAAGATGTCTGAGCCAGGACCACAGAGCTGGTGGCAAATACATAATCACTTCCTACCCTGCAGTTCTAAGTGATGCTTAGCTGCATGATACAACACCTTTAGGGTTACAATGAATATGGGACAAGGAACAAGCATTTGCAGAGTATTCCAGACTTAGGCTGTGCCCCAGGTGCTTTGCAAATGTCAGCCCGATTTCCACCCAAGCCTGGATCAGAAACATTTTGTCATCCCCACTTTATAGAGCAGGCAATTAGGGCTGTTGTCAAGTGTGGTCGGTGGTGCCTAAAGTGCACCACCAGAGTTAATATCTCATAAGAGTTATCTGAGATGAAGACACGGCCCCCTCTGAATACAGTCTCCATCCTTTTAAAGATGTCACTCTCCCAAGAAGGAACCTTAGATCCCTCAGAGTGTCAACCCATTCTGCGTGCTGTTTGAGCGATGCAGAATCAGGCAATATGCATATGTGAATTTATCAGTGAAGGAACTTTGGCTACAAAGAGAGCAATGAGGCCCCAGAGAGATTGCGTGTAGA